CATGCCATGCTGCTGGTTCCTACAAGTATGCTCACTGCTTAATTTTCCCTTTAAAATGGTTCTAAAGAGTTGGCATGTCTTTTTGTTCATGTTTTCTGGTGTTTTAATCAATCAAAAATATGCTCCAGTAGACTTAAAAGAAGTTTTGCCCTTGTAGACAGAAGCCAATGACAGCTGCAACATTCTCTATGGATGGTTCTGTTCTTGCTGTTGCTGCTGAAAATGTCATTACATTGTGGGATCCTGACAGGAATTTTCTTGTGGCTGTAATTGGAGAGAGTATTGAAGTGAGTTTCTGAACAAATTGACTTTTCTTACTTTCTACTCTAGTTCCTTCATGCCTGAGATTGGATTTGTTAACCATCTGGAGGTCTGTTCTCATTCCTTGCCAAGGGGTACCTCTATTGGATTTGCCAAGTGGAAATTGTGGACTGATAGACAATGTTGAATGCTTAAAAGTCTCTCTCCTGGTGTTTATCTCAAGTAGGGTCATAGTCTCATAGGTTTATGCACCGGAACATAGGCTGCTTCAAATTGTTTACTTGAAAGTACCTTTACTAATTACCATCTGCATTACTAGCTAATAGCCTTGTTCTTTTGGCAAAACTTTGTTAGAATGATTGGCTACTAAAAGAGGATTGGATAAGTTTTGTTGCAGTTTGTGAAGGTACATGTTCATGAGGATGAAAGGCAATGGCTTTCCCGGCAATTTTGTACTATAGCACTGCAAAAATCAGAATTTGCAATCAATATTTGAGCATAGTTGTTTAACACTCAGTTTGGTTTGTTTCATGAAATTTAGAGAAGTCCTCATAATTCCCTAGAGATATTAAGGGGCATTCTGCCGCTATTATCCTTGACCTGTTTGGCAAGATAGGGAGATTATGATCTAAAAGGTCAATAGATGAAACCCGTTATATTACTTACCAACACGTAACGTGGAAACGTGCAGCTGCTTATTGGCTTTTGGGGGAATGGGCAATAACGGTTCCAAGGAAAAGAAGGGAAGCATTTCTGCAAAAATGGCATCCAAACTTTTTATTGTATTTCTAGTTGCTTTACTCCATATGAGTTATCTTGCTCTCTCATATGAATTTATTTCACTGCGCAGACAATCAGAAAGCTCTCATTTGTGGGAAAGTCTGACTATCTTGTATCTGCATCCCAAGGATCAAGCCCTGAACTGTTCCTTTGGAGTATGTCCAATCTTTCAGTATTGTGGTCATACAAGCTTCATGCTGAAGGTTTGTGTTTTCTTTTCTTTCATCTGCACAAAAGGGGAAAGTGGGAATCATGTAATTTTCATAATAAGTTCAGCAATTAATCATTGCTTTAAGAGACTAACGTCACCACTCTGATTCAAGGTCATTGTAGATTCTTTTAAAATTTTTAATGGTTTGGATCTTTTTGACATAGTAGCCTGTTAATAGGTAGGTAGAAAGTCTGTCTGATGGACTAAGGGCATGTTCTCAACAGCTTATGAAAAGATATAAGCAGCTTTTTTGAAATTGAAGAAGTTAATGTGGAAAATCTATTAAAAAAAATTGGAACATAATTTGTTTTTTAATAGTTAGAAAAGCTAAAAGCTGTTTTTAAAAGCTATCAAATGTCTGCTTTTGACAATTAGCATTTTTCAATTTTGAATAAGCTGATTGTAGCTCATCAAAAGCTGTAGAGAATTAGCCACAAACGAAGAGTCATCATCAATCTTGCCACTGATAAAAGAGAGAGTGAGAGATCGATTTTTTTAATAGTCTAAGCCAAATCGCCAGTCCTACATGCTTGATCGGGCCGTTGTCAACTGGCTATATGTTTTTCATCTTTATTTTCTGCCTCAAAGAGAATTTGAGAATACAAAGGGTTGATAATCTGTAGCTTGTGTATTCGGTTGTGCATTTGGTTTTAGTAATTGTAGCCAGCAGCAGTTTTTGTCTGCTTTACTCTTTTATGGCTAACTTGTCATTGTCATCCGTACTTTATACATGTTGTTCCATTATGTTGAACTTTTCTTTTTGTCTTTGTAGCTGTGTCCTGTGCAACGGATGGTTCCTCCTTTGCTGTCCTCGCTCATCTACCCACATCATCTAAGAGTACAGAGTGTTTATATCGCTCTACACATGGTGTAGATGGGGTGATCTTGTTATTCCATGTAGACAAAGCAATCCCTGTCTCCACCTGGTTTGTCCAAAAGGTAAAAGTTTCCTCTTTTAACTTTTCACCATTTCTAGTTTTCTTGTTGGACCTGTGGTCAAAGGGCAATTAAGTACAAAGCAGCTTCTTTACTCACTTTATAGAGGACTTCATGTTGTGTGGTTTCTTTACTCGTGTATAGCTTTAACGTCTGAAAACGTCTTGGTTGCTTTCCTCGCCAGAGTGCATTTGTCATATTAACTAGTAGCCTTTGTGTTCAAAATGAGAAAGCATTTCTAACTGAGTTTGACTGGCCTTGATTATCCTAGCGTAGCTACAATAAAGGCCATTCACGGGAGTTACTGGTATGTTCTGGGACTTTCTAGGTCCATTTTGTGGAGTAGGGGTTAATCAACTTTGAGTAGATGAGACCTAGGGGCTCTAGCAAGCTATGCTGTAGCTTTAATGGAATAGCTCCCCGTGCAGGCTCAGGGTGGGTCTCTTGCTTTCATTGATGCAAGCTCAAGATTAGAGGATGGCAATGCTGAAAGAAAATCAGTGGAGGTGCTGACATACATTAACGGAGCTCATGAATATGTCCTCTTGGACCCATTTGGGGAGTCGGCCCCTATTCGATGTACCTCTCAGCCGGAGAGCCTGGTTGACTTTGGGGAGACAGGTGAGGCTGTTGTCTCCTGTAAATCTTTTTATGCATTGCCAGTGCATATAGTAATCCTTTTTGAATGTGAAATCTTTCCTAAAAGTTTTGTTCGACAATTTATATGCTAAAAACACGTGCAAATTCTTTTCCACCTTCAGCAGGGAGATATGGGTATACTTCCATTTATGGTAAACTTCCAGAATTCAACTTAGAAAGGGAACGCAGTGCATCAATTGCAACAGCAGCATCTGAAAGGAGCTGGGAGATGATTCTTGACGGACCATCTCATAATCTTCCTCCTTTTACAACATTGTGCTCAGCGTTTCTGGAGTCATTACTAGAAAGGAGAACTGCAACCGTCGAATAAGCGTAAGTAGTACCTAGGCATGGTGCGAATTACAAAAACTCGCACCGAGCAAGATCCAAATTGAGCAAGCTGTGATTCCGTGCTTGCTCCCTGCATAATTCGATTGGAGTAGAGGCGAGGCGGGTATTGAAGATGGGATTGTTGCATATATTTGATCAGTATGAAGCAACTATTAAAAAATCGAAACGAGGCCTGCTTGTAAAGTGCCACCCTACCATTTTGGCTAAGCGAAGATTGAGATGAAGCTGTGAAAAGCTAGGTTTGCGGTCATTGCCTTTGTATATTAACAGAAATGAGGATCACAGGAAGCAGAGGTGTTAATAGGATGAGCCAATTTTGATGCGGGCGGTGATTTTTACTGTACTTCTTTCACACAAAATGTTCACCTGTTGTACCATACTGGTCCGATGTTACTTAAAAACTAATTCAACATGGATGTATGTATTTTTTGTGCTGAATCGGCCTCGAATGGTAGGAATTGCAATCTTTCGAGAGGACCATATATTGTTAGGCACTTTACTTGACTGAGATTAAAAATCGCAAAAAGTTTTTTGGATGATAGTGGGCAAAACATTGCTTTTTGTCTTTTTTTTTTTGGAAAAATCGCCAATTTAGTCCCTAAATTTTTTTTTTCTGTCGATTTAGTCCCTATACATTATTTATAGCCAATTTAATTCTTAAACTTATATTCTGGTTCCAATTAAGGAGTTTCGCGGCCGCGCCACCGCATAATTTCCGTCAGCTTCCCAATTGAGCAACAAGAAGGGGTATTTTAGGAACTTCTATCCTAAAGTCTTAACCAAAATTAAAAAAAGGTGCAATCTCCACTGAAGCAATCCGCCTGCAAAACAAATCATTCGCCACTAAAGCATTGCTCCCACTCCACCGTGAAACTGTAACATGACGGGCAATTTTCGACAATTTTTGTTTCTAGGATTATATCCTCTGTAAACCCCCACTATCCAATTTCAAATTGACATCGTCACTGCTACAACCATAGCTATTTCTCCAATGATTCTGATTCCGGATGGTCACGATCGGCGTCGTGGTAGTGACTCCATTGGCAGAACCATAGCTGTTCCGCCGGAGAAGAAGTTGGTTTGGATCGGACCTGGGATCAAAATAATCGAATGGTTGAATATCCTCAGCCCTTGATTTGATGGATTGGGACATGAAAGCGGAATCATGGCAGGAGTCAGAAAGAAAGATTCAAAGGGCGAGAGAAGTCAAGGGGTCTATGTGGATATCCTGGGTGGCAACTCCGTCGGTGAAGGAAGGATTGGCGGCGGCGATGGACTCCTCACGAGGACGAGAGGTGACTCCAAAGGATGAGCTGAGGCCATCATCGGCTTGAGGGTTTTGCATTTGGTTCTGCTGCATTGGTCCTTGCTTTGAAAATCCACCGCATAATTCCGCCACATTGGGTTTTGCGGGAGATTTGGATTTTGGGTGGGTATTTCTCCATTGAATTGGGTTTTAGACATTTCGGGGGAAAACGGCAAGATTGCACCTTTTTTTAATTTTAGTTAAGGCTTTAGAATGGAAGTTCCTAAAATACCCCTTCTTGTTGCTCGATTGGGAAGCTGACGAAAATTATGTGGTGGCCCCGCCGCGAAACTCCTTGATTGGAATCGAAATATAAGTTTAGAAATGAAATTGGCTATAAATAATGTATAGGGACTAAATCAACAGAAAAAAAAATTTAGGGACTAAATTGGCGTTTTTCCCTTTTTTTGTTATGTTTTTGTTTTTGTTTTTTTTCGGGTGGTGTTGTTTGCAAAGAACGGTGGATTAACTATCGGTGGTGAGGCGGACGAGTGACGAAGAGCTCTCAAGGGCGTCGTATTAACTAAGCGCGTTTCATTGGACGCTAAATTGCACAAAATGAAGACCAATTAAAAGAACCCAAAGAAAAAAGAAATTGCACAAAATGAGGAAATCACGGTGGAATTACGATAACAACGTGGGATACAAAAAGGGAAAATGATCGGGTGGGTGGGCGGATATGGTTAGTGCTGCTGGGTTTTGAAATCGGACATGGCTACTTGGGCATTTTTGGGGTCGCGTTGAGACTGATCTGCAGAGGGTGGCAGTTGATCCTGAGCTGTCCTTCGGTCCTGGTGCTTCGGCTGTTGCTGGGCTCTGGAGATGTTGTGGGCACTTGAGAAAAGATCAACGGGCTCAGAGTCGGCAATCTTGCCTCCTTCAAGTGGAGTGCCTGCTTTGTACCCGATTCTCAATGCATCGTCTTCTGAAACCTTTGCCTGAGCTGTCGCGTATCGTATATCGTCCGTGCTTTTTGCCGTCTTTTTTTCGAAATTTGTGATTGAGCACTTCTCTGGTTCTTGCGTCTCTTCCATTCTGTACTTGGGCCTTTTCCGGATGACCCATAATTGAAAATTTTATGAATCTCGGGCTTGGGCTGAACAATAGTGTGGAAGACTTTTTAAAGTGGTGAATCCTATCTTCTTATGAGAGCAAAACCCACTTGGGACACAGCGACTTTTTTATTGGTCTATCTTTTTTGTCAAAGTTCCGGATAACATAACATCGGATAGAAGCTACAGCAATGTCGACTGTCACCTGTGGACAAGACTGGACTGAAATAAATCACATTCTATTTTACATTTTCTAGAAACGAAACAAGAGATGTATTACAGCCGCATGATGCGACGGAAAACCCGACTTTAATTCGCGTTTCAAACGCAGTGAAAACGGCCCGACGGTTCTGGTCGAAGGGGGAATTAGCAAAGAAAGAAAAGGAATTGGTGATTAGACTCTCTTGTACGTACTGCATCATCCCGCTTGTCTTCGTTTTTCTTGATCATAATTTTTCCCCGTCAATTTTTTTCTTTTATCACAGTTAGTGTTTTTTTTTTTTTTTTTTTTAAGATTGTATATTCTGTACCGGGGCTGGGAAGAGTTATTAGCAGTGATGGTGTAGCCAAGGTTTTGATCAAAAAGCAAATGAAAATATACGGAATCCTATTGTTCCCTTTCAAGAGTTCAGTCAAGCAGATTGCTTGCTTTAAATTCGAAGCTCTGATCTGCACCCAGAGTCCAAGCTTTACAACCCTTTTTGTCTGACTTCTAAGAGACCTATCAGTAGCTTCAGCCTTCAAGCATTTGCTGGAATCCATGGCAGTCCTATTAAACTCTGTATCACCTATAAAACACCCTTCTTCAGAACATTCAAGAAATTCTGCTGGATTCTCTTCCAAAGTATTGAAGTTCCATTCTTTTTCCCTCAACAATGGTTTACCTAGACTGTTGGCCTCTACCCAGACGGCATTTGCTTCTCAAGATACCGTTTTCACGTTGCCCAACTGGAGATCTGGCAGGAACGACCCTAGAACCAAAGAGCTTAGGATGAATGATGCTTTCTTGTACTTGGAATACATGGTCGGAAAACGCCACATGCCTGATGTTGTTCAGGCAACGCAGTTGCTGTATGATCTTTGCAAGTCCAATAAACTCCGAAAGGCAACTAGGGTCATGGAAATGTTGATTGCATCAGGTAGTATTCCGGATGCAGCTTCGTATACTTTCTTGGTGAATCATTTATGTAAGAGAGGAAATGTTGGTCATGCCATGCAATTAGTTGAAAAAATGGAGGAAAACGGATACCCGACCAATACTGTGACTTATAATTCTCTTGTCAGAGGTCTTTGTATGCGAGGAAACTTGGATCAGAACCTGCAATTTGTCGATAGGCTGATGCAGAAGGGACTGGTGCCAAATGCATTTACATACTCAATCTTGCTTGAGGCTGCTTATAAGGAAAGAGGGGTTAACGAGGCAATGAGACTCTTAGATGAAATAATTGCTAAAGGTGGAACGCCTAATTTGGTTAGTTATAATGTCATATTGACTGGTTTGTGCAAGGAAGGTAGAGTCGATGAAGCAATACAGCTTTTCAGGAATTTGCCTTCGAAGGGATTCAACCCCAACGTTGTGAGCTATAATATTTTGTTGAGAACCTTGTGCTATGAAGGACGGTGGGCAGAGGCAAATGAACTTCTGGCTGAGATGGTTGGAGATGATCGCTCCCCAACAATAGTCACCTATAATATCTTGATTGGCTCCCTTGCCTTTCATGGCCGAACTGATCACGCCCTCAAGGTTGTGGATGAAATGCACAGAGGCGGGCAGTTGAAGCCCACTGCAGCCAGCTACAATCCAATCATTGCTCGTCTGTGCAAAGAGAGGAAGCTGGATGCTGTAATTAAATGCCTGGATGAAATGATGTACCGTCATTGCAGCCCTAATGAGGGCACATACAATGCCATTGCCTTGCTTTGTGAGGAGGGGATGGTGCAAGAGGCATTCTCAACCATCCAAAGTTTGAGGCCTAAGCAGAGTTCCTCCAATCATGATTTCTACAGAACAGTGATTTCTAGTCTGTGTAAGAAGGGGAACACGTATGCGGCATTTAAGCTGCTGTATGAAATGACAACCTGCGGCTTTAATCCAGATTCATATACCTATTCATCTTTGATTAGAGGACTGTGCATGGAGAGGATGCTTGGCGTGGCTATAGATGTTTTTAGAATCATGGAATTAAGTGGCTACAGACCTGACACGGATAACTTCAACGCCCTTGTGCTTGGGTTATGCAAATCTCGGAGAACAGACTTGTCCTTGGAAGTCTTTGAGATGATGATTGAGAAAGGCTATATGCCTAGTGAGACGACTTATACTATTTTAGTGGAAGGGATCATTCGCGAAGAAGAAAGGGAGCTGGCAGCAGCAGTTTTGAAAGAGCTGCATCAGAGACAAGTCGTCAGTAGAAGTACAGTTGAAAGGATTGTTATGCAATATGACATTGAAGAGTTATCGATATAGACAGCTCTCTGTAGCAATGGGACGGTGAGGAGGCAATGGGTGATTGTTGAAGAATCACCGTTGGCAGTAACTGCTGAGCATGTAAGGGAAATCTCGACAAACTTGTGCGCTCAGCCTCAGTGTGCAAGACAGTAAAGAGTAATGACTGTGAAGAACCCAACGGTGATTGGTTACATGTTGGCATTGGTCGGCTTCAAGTTTGTATCACTTCACTTTTAACCTTACTCCTAGCTTTCTACTCACACTGTACATCTATCACTATTCTCTTCTGACTATATATATTAGAGCGGGATCCGCTCCTAGCTTCAACGTTGCAAATACTTTGCCAATTGCGTATTAATAACAATACTTTGCCAATGTTTCTATGAATTTCTGCTGTGAAAACAGAAACTCCAACAACACAGAAATATCTACAGCCCCTTTAACGATCGATCTCCCATAATTCTCACAACTTCCTTTTTATCTTTTTGTTTATTCTTTTTCTCTGAACTAATGTTCCATAGTGAAACTGGATCTGTTTTACTTTAAAACATCAAATACTTCTTTGGTTGATAGATTATTCACTTCATTGCATTCCGAGATCATCCACAGAAAGCAAGTTGTCAGGTTTATGCAAGAGAGTAGTATTATCTATTAAGAACTTGATGCCCTCATCCAACCTGTCAGTTTACCACTGCATTGTGTGTTAGACGAAACACGGATGCAACCTGCAGCTCCTTCCAGCTGTACGTGGGCCAATACCTAGACTGGGGTAAGCATCGAACAGTTCCTGATTATGCCCGCTCAGCCAGTTTTTTCCCACATACACGCACCAAGAAAGAAGGCATCTTTACCCCGTCGCACAAAAAGGCAATCGAGGTACTCTTTTCTGATAGAGATCTAATCAGATTGCCGCCCAACACGCACCTATGCTTGACAAGGTGCCAAGCGGTGCAAATTCACCAAGTAGGACACTGAATTGTTGATTAGAAAATGGAGATCAGCTGAGGGGCTGCAGGCGTCAAAATCTATCAGAATTGCACCACTTGAAACTTAGAAGTGCAAAACCCTGGTTCCGCCTGGATGGTCAACCAATACATATTTTATAAACTAATACCTTCCATGTCAAAACACTAGTTCCAGTTTCAAATTAGGGAAAAATAGGTTTTTAGACACAACATGCCGCTTACACTGGAATAGACACAAAAGTTACTAAAACAACTAAGTAAATTTTTTAAAGAGTCTTGCAGAACAGTAGACATATAAGATGGTAGTTTCCCCAGCTAAAACTTTCATCCACACATAAGAGCTGCTTGACATCAGGAGCCAAAAGCAGGTCATGAAAAAGATGCAGGTTCAAATATGAAGAAACCATGTGGTATCCAGCTTCTACTTGGATCTTTGTCTCATCTTTCGGCGCTTCCTCTTGAGCCTCCTCATGCGCTTCTTCTTCCACTGCAAATTGCCCAAAACAAACATCAGTAGAAGTATGGGTTAAGGAAGTATGGGTTGAGTTATCGGTACATGATATCTAACTACACATAAAGATGTTCATAAAGGTGAAGGATAACTTGGGGTGTAAGCCGTCTGTCACTTTTCTATTTACCAAAATAACCATGTATTTGGTAGGTACGATAACATAGGTTAGGGAAATTTAGAACAGCAGCATGTTAGCATCTAGAAGAATGTCAAATTTTCGACAACCACCATCTAATCCTGTTTGGTAAACAGAGTTGGCATGGATCAAACACTTGCATTAAATAATGCACAACATCAACAATTGTTAATCAAAAACAGCATTAGGATAAAACAAAACAGCTTCAATTACAAGGGGATACACTATGCAACGCATTCCCGAGTTCTCAACAGCTGCTGGACAGCAGTACGCAGTACATGTAGAAATGATAATTCCACAACCAGAAAAAAAAAGTAACATCCTTGAAATGCGAAGCAAAATAAAAGCATAGCAAAACAGAACACAAAATATCATGATTCCGCCCAATGATTTACTAGCGCCATAGTAGAAGACTTCTTTCTTTGTCTAACCCCTCTTTTATATATGTCAATCTCAGGGAGTACAATCCATTCCTTTTTATATCCACCTAGAAAATGCACCAAATTCGTAGTAACATGACAACGCAACATAAGGGGAAAAACCCCGGAAATCCTAAACCCAACACGGCAAAGCTCATCAAAAAACAGAGAAAACCAAATACATACATACTACCACATTGGAGCATCCTATTTGTGTGCAAGCATTTCTCGACAAATGGAACTATTTATCATTAGATTCGAACTATCATCTTAAACGAAGGCTATATTTACATGGAATACAATACATCAACAACAAGTCATGCAATATGATAGACAGATCGACAATTGATCATGCTCTACTGATAAATCAAATAAACCTTCTAGTGAATGATCAAGGAATTTTTGAATAACAAAATATTTTTTTTTTAAATGCTAAATTAAAAACGAAAAAGAAATGAAAGGAGGCTAGACCTTTGCCCTCATGTTGTTGCCTCAGAAAATGTAGCGGCCTCCGCCCAATTCTCCAGATCAGTCAAAATTACCGACCCTAATAGGATATGAGGATCGAGCCAGTTGATTTCATAGCCGTGAAAAGGGGTAGGGAACGGGGACCCTCTTTTTATTTTAAGTTCGGACTACGAGTATTTATTTATAGGTGCTGCTTGAAACCCTAATTCTTCTCTCTTCCCGTCGTCGATTTGGATGCTCCCTGAGAGATGGGCTGGCCGCAAGGTCCACTCTCCCAATGGGCTCATTGTGAACGATAAACCTTTTTTGTTTCTTGAAAATGAGGCCCAATACAAACTCAGGTTGTAAAAGACGGGCTGCCTTAGCAAACTAAGAGCCCGTTTGAATTACTATTTTTTAAAATTTAGTAAAATAAAAAAAAAATTGTAATATAATGATTTAACTTGACGTATTTTGAAATAAAAAAGTAATTAAGAAATGTGTTTGCTAATTTCTTTTTTGGATACATGTTTAAATGTTTGCTTGAGAGTAGGCCTAAAAGTTGGGAGTTTTATCACAAAGTCGCACAAAACTAGTAATTGACCACTAGAAATTAACCCAAGGTTTCAATGAACTGCTCACCCGAGATCCCAATCGTCTTGTATCAGTCATCCAAGCTTAATTGGAGAGTTGCATATGTGTTACTATTACACAAAAACTTCCAAAACAACAGCACATTGAACTCCGATCCCTCCAAGGTTAATTTACCATCTCACACAAGCTAGCTAGCCGGCCGAGCAATTATTAACAATGGCGAGGATGTTGGTTTATGAGCATGACTTTTTTCATGCTAGCTGTTTTGTTCACCCTCCTCACCGCCCAGTGCATGGCAGCTCGTAAACTGCTGCATGCCATCAATCCCAGGCCTACCCATCACTCTACCGTCAATTCCTCCCTCCCATTCCACCTTTCCCAGCCATCCCCGCCCTACCTTCCATATTTCCAACAATTCCCGCTGCCCTTTATCTTTTCACTCCCACCACTACCCTTTTAAATCCCTGTTCCTATCCCAAAAATCCCTTCCATTCCCAGCATCCCATTCCCTTTTCCACCTCCTCCAAAGTAATTAAAGAGATATATAAAATTCAAGTACTTGAAGTACTAGTTCAAGTACTAGTATCTGCCACCTACTGCAGATGATTCGTTTCGATCGTCGGCTTCTGGCATAAGTTATTCCATGCACTAGGCAGCTTGGATCACCTACAAATCTTGTGATTAATTTGGATTGGGTGAATAAATTTTAAAACTCAAACTCGCCAAGTGGTGGTGCTGGTGGTTGTTGTAACCATTAGGATTAAACTAATGGTCGTGGAAGGGTTCTTAAAATCTTTTTCGCCATCGGGTTTAAGATTCGGACCCTTTATCTGACAATCCACTTCTCATCCATGTCCAGTTAGCAAGGATTTTTTTTCGCCTCCAACCCTCGTAAATTGTTAGATGGATGTACAATCTCTAAACAGAAAATGCCGGTTCTCTCTGGTTGGTTATTTATTGCATGTGCGATGCATATGTTTCTTCAATGTACAAAATAAAAACCCAAACAAAAGAAAAGATAAAATGTGTGATTTCAAATCCTCCAAAATAAACAGCATTAACTACTACGTATATTGGTACAGCATAACCATATCATACTTATCGCAACATTAAAGCTTACATTGATGATGTGAAAATTTCATTTACGAGAGGGAATTTTAGCATCTATAAAAAAGAGAAATCTAATTTTAAATATATTTATATGACATGCATCTAAACTTATTTGTATTAAATAAACTGCTATAATGAATATTGTAAGCTAACAAGGAAAGCTCGTGCAATAGTAGCACCTGCAAATCCTACAAAGATCCACAAATATAATGCATAATAACTAGTTTCATAAGGACTAAATGCCTATAAATGGGTTTTATTAAGTGTATGGATTTAGAGAGGGATGCTTTAATCTTTATGTATATGTATTTTTGTCAATTAACACTTGTCTATCTTACACTTACTCCTACTCCTACTCTAACCTATTATAATGGATGAGAGCTCAACTAGACCTACTGAACAACCGACGGAAACTGATCTACCATCGGATCAAACGGATGTACTACGCATCCATATGAATTTAAATCATTTAAAGTGGCAAATCACATATAATGATAAGTGGTGAGATACAAGATTTGAACCCTTAACCTCATACCCACCAAGCCTTAAAGACTACTACGATAGTCATCCAGCCTTTAATCTTTTGATTGATGAATCATCTAGTGTCTACTTGTAGCACCTATGTAGCCATAACTTTTCTACCTTCAGTACCTATGTAGCCATAACTTTTCTTAAAAGGGAAAGAAAAAGGTACTTTGATAAAAAAGAAACAAGAAAAGTAGAGAAATTACTAAGTAGAGTATAAAAAGGGCTTTCTTTTTTCCTGCAGCAACGTTTTAAAAGTGCTTCATCCAAAGCGCAAAAGACAAAGGCATTGTCTGTTTTGAAGAAATTGGAAGGAAGGGATTGGGAGGAATAAAGTTTAGTAATTTTTTTTAATCAACCTACTTTTTCATTCAAAAGTGGACGAAAATTGAGGAAAAATATACCAATTTAATGAAAAGTTTAAAATTTTCTAAAAACCTATCATGTCCTTGTAGATTATACTTTTAAATTATGAATAAAAATGCAACTAATGCGTGATAATATCCTTTCTTTTCCTTCCTTAATCCAAACAAGATAGATGGATTCGGATTTCCCTTATTTTCCTTTCTTTTTCAACTATAGTCCCTTCCTTTCCTTCGCTTCCTACTAGAGCCCTTTTCTTTTCCTTCCTTCCCTTCCTTCAATTCACATGAGCGCCAGAAGAATACAAAAATCTACAGAACATAAGCGGGCGGATCGTATCAAAATAAGTAATAAATTGAAAAAAAAAAAAAAAAGTCAGTAAATAACACCCCAGCCCATGTGAATGTTCTGTTTCAGGCCCCCAAAGTTTCAGTGGCACAGACTTTTTTGACATGGTAAAATCAAGTGTTGCTGCCAGACGCAGCCCATCAATGTTGGGTGGGCTTCAAACCACCAGTCTCCTTTTTAAGCTTTGGTGGACCTCAGACAAGTTAAGAGCAAGTGCTGCAACATCAATGTTAAAATGATGGCCTCTCTCAAAGTTACAAGATTGTTCTAAGCTGTGTTGCAGTACCATTAAAAAAAAAAACAAATTTTTTTAAATAATAATAAAGAAAGGGAGCTATAGCTATAAATATTACTCCGCACGAGGGGATGTGACGTGGAACAAGTTTGTTTCTTTCTACTTCAATTCACATCCATCCCATTGAGAGCTTGTACGTCAATGATTCAAGGAATTTATTAGTACAAATATCGAACAATTAAAGCTCGTGCTCGAACAACAGTTGCCCTAAACACGTATGTAGTAGCTTCAATGTTATGAAGAATAGGAACCAAGCTGTAAACAGGGTAACATTTGGTTTACGCGGATTTATGTACATGCATGTTAAATTGAATGGCATGAACAAGAGTACCAATTGCATCGTTTTGTTATAACTTTCCCAATGCATATTATGAAGTGACGCGCAAAGGTTATAAACTAATGCATTCTTACTCACTTTTTCAACAAATCAAAAAGTCTTTGTTTCAATTTACTCCTCTATCCATTCCATCTTATGAGGTAAAACTAAGAAATGTGCATCACAACTGCAATTTTATTTGTTATTCACATCAATTTTTGTCTCTTCCCCTCACCCCTTTTCTTTCTTTGATGTACGATGAAGAAGCGCTTAGCTTCCCCGGACCGAGCTGATCTGATGAGCTCGGCATGCTGATGAAAAGAGCGTGTCTCAAGCCTGCAAAGCGAACAAGAGAGTGGTCTAACAGGGGAGCCCCAAGGTGGTCCCCGGGGGCACTCCGACGGTCAAATTAGTTATCCGCTAAGTGAGGTTCACGGGAAGTAAAACAGTCAGGAGTAATTGGCGAATAGTGAGCGTACCTTGTGTAGCTGGTGTGCGCTACCATTTATACATGCTCGAAAGTCCGACCTCCGTACGTTTCGGGACTTATCCAGTATAGCCTCAATCCCGCGCTGAAGGGGATTCTCCCCGCCCTCTGCGGGATTGTTTTCCGGAACCTCTCGGAGCCCTAGTGGTGGCGTGTCCCAGGACGGTTGTCAGGGGCTTGGAGTCCAAGCCCAACTCTGCCATTCCTGGGCAGAGTTGGGCCCGCAACGTGTCCAGGCCCAGGACGGGACTTCTGCATACGACGTAGTAAGATATAAAACAACTATACAAAATAATTCAGACCCTTGCATAACCACAAAGTAATAGTCTTCTGCATAACACCAAAACAGGATACGTGTAAAACTATTTTGTATTTCGTCACAACGTATCTATATGTGTGTGTACATGGCTATTGCATGGGTTGGGATAGAATCTTTATTTATACATTACATTAACATTGCACAGATTTAATGGGCTTAGATGCAAGATACGTAGATAAAATTTGAATGCAAATCATTTATTTTGCAGATATAGCAATAGCTTGTGTAGTTGTATATACATGCCAGCCTATTAAAGTTTTGCATCCTATATAATAAAATCAACTACTTAGAAGAATGTTTATATTTAGATAGGGGTAATGTTTATTTAGATTTTGGTGGGTTATCGATTCACACAAGCATTTTGCCCTAAGCATATCCCATCTAGGGACTAGGTTTACCAGCTGAGGATGATGTGATGTATGTAAAGATATCGCTAGCCTCCAATTCCTTCAAATTATCATACAGAGGGTAACATCGGGCTGGGTGGGTAAATCATATGTCTACAACCGCTTGGGGGGAGATATTTCCGGGAACCATCTCTGGCTTGTCATCCTTTGTTCCACGCTCCATAACAGAGCAATTTAAAAAAAAAAAAATTACTCACTATACAACTGTTATATACGATGGGATGTATGTATAAATATATATATATATATATATATATGTGCGCGCGCGCTATTATATTGTACAAAAAGCCAAGAGCAGGGAACACTTTTGTTTGGAGCGTAGCGGAGAGCCATATGCCACGTAGATATCTGTTTGACCGGATTCACCCCATTCGAACGAGACTTGGGACCCGCTGTACCCTCTTCCTATTTATATTCATTCACTCGATAGTTATGTGACTCCTTCTCCAATAGATGGTAGACACTAGAC